AATACTAATGTAAATTAATCAATGAATCAATCTTTAATGAGGAACTACAATTCAAAAACTTGGTATTTTTTCTTCTTGAGAAGAACCATCCTAGCTAGCTTCCTAATGATGGATCCATTCTATTCATTCATTCCACGATTATTTATTGAATATCTACTATATGTCTGACACTATTCTGTGCTTTGAGATAAATGATGAGTAAAACCCTACTCTCATGAACCTTAGAATCTTAAAGGGAGCCAGACATCACTCAAACATCAATTGTATTGTGTTCATTGCAGTAGGGAGAGACAAATGGGGTGCTGAGAGCCTGTGCCCTTGGGGTTACAGAGGTCAAGTAGTGCTTCTCTGAGAAAGTGGCTCTGGAACTAAGAATAGGGATAACTGTCTGACAGTTGAGGAAAAACAGAGTTCTGGTAGAGAGCCGTTAAGGAGTGTTCTCTCTTCCGGGAACCTTCGGTGGAAGGATAAGCAGAGAAATGCTAGTAGAGAGGAGGTGAGGAGGGGTAGATTTTAATACAATCTGCATTTTGAAAAGATCACTCTTTTCTTTGGATGAAGAATTTTTAGTGAAAGCTGCTTTCGGATATTGATTGCATATTTCTTAACAAATCAAACTCTGGAAAATGACAGGCATGTTCTTATTAAATATTGTGATAGTGATACCTTGTACTTGTTCAGCTTAAAAAGAAAAAAAACCCAACCTGCTGTTTTCACATTTAATGCTGTCTCTTTTAATAAGTATTGCACATATGGTGCCCCAGGCAGAACATTTGAGCCCCCTCCATAACTCATACACGATGGCACATTAACAGAGGCCTTCAGACATTGGTTTTAATTCCAGGGTTAAGGTTTCTGGAGCTCTTCAGGCCAAAAGCTCCTGACCCAGGTTCACTGCTTAAAGAAAGGATGTGTCATGGTGCCTGGGAGTCTCACTCAGGGATAGCACCTTGTTGTTGCATTTTGTGGTTTGGTTCAGGAAGCCTTTGGACTGGCTCTAGTGAGTCACTCTCCCCTGATTGTTCCATCTGTGATTCATCTTACTTCTCTTACCTTTCCCCTTTTTTGCCCCATGTACCTTCCTTTCCTCTTAGTCATTAAAATGTTCCTCTGCTGCCTTGCCATCCTCGTTCTTAAAAATTTTCCATCCCTTCTCAGCTGGAGCAGATGCTTGTCTTGCTGTTCTGTGAGGAGCTGTGAGCTGGCTGACAAGGCATTGACTGAGGCACAGCTGCTGGGAGCTTAGGGAAGCCTTGTGCTGGGTAAGCCAGGACAGAACACAGTACACAGACCCCAGTCTCTGTGCCTTCTTCCTTTCATTGGACCTGGGTGGCTCTGTACGTGGGGATGTCCTATAAACCCTGATAAATCATGTTGGGAAACTGGGTCTCCTCACAGTGGACACCAGGAGGTCTGGGAGACCTACTGGATTCCAGAAAACTCTTGGCAAACCTGTGCCTCTTTGGAGGCAGCTGGATAATTAAGAAGATTTTATGTGTGTGTGTTTTTCCCCTTGGTGTCACTCTGTATCACATCATTTATTTGTTACTCAATGAAGTCATTTTAATGAAACCACACCCACTGTTCAGAAAGAGAGGGGGTTTCCTTATTTCTGAATTCAGTTGTCCTACTTTGAGTCCAGCCTAGTATTTGTTTAGCATTTTCATTGTGAATAAATGTGAACTTGAAAATGCTGTCAATAAAATGCCGTGAAAATATTTCTTTTTGAAAGTTTCCCTTTGGGGTTAAACCTTCTCTTTGGAGTTTTTTTCTGCATTTGTTGTTGTTGTTTTTTAACTCAAAAGTGTACATGATTCTCAAGTTTGATTATCAGATCTACATTTTGATTCATCTTCCTCTTTAGGTATTTGGTTTTCTCTCTTTAAATTTTTTTTCTTTGAAATTTATTTACTCATTTATCATCCTTTGGTTCACTAGGTTCCTGTTCACTCTAACCATGATTGCATTAACCTCTTGGAGCAGAATGAAATAGTTGGCGGGAGAGAGAGAAGGGAGAGAAAAACAGATTCAATTTGGGAGCAACCCTGATGATCAAAGAAGAGATGAGGTCTGTGAACCATGAAAGATAAGAACACCAAGAAGTCTGATATATTTGTGACCTTGGTCTATGTTAAGTGTCCAGAGAATCATAGTTAGTAAAATTGCAGTAGACACCCTCTCGTTCTGATAAAAATGAAACCAAAAAATAGATTGAAGGAAAATATGATTCTAAAAATTGGATTACAAGATTTTGACCTATACTAAAAACCAGAAGGTTCTTAGATTTTGCTCTCTTGCCCTAAACAGAGCTGATTTTGAATCGATGACATTCCCGGTATCTCTTAGTGTTAGTGAAAGAAAAGTGAATTTGCAATTTATTTTTATTTCAGATGCCATCCAAGAAAAGTTCGTGTTTGGTTACCTGAAAATATAACTGTGCCTGTTTGGTTCTGGAGTGCCCTGTGGACAGATTGAAAGGTTCCCTTTCATATGTCAGAGACAGTGAGGCCAGGACACGCAGTCTGTTAAAATCACCACAGACAGAATAGTGTGGCCTTACTTAAGCCAGTGGGATAGAAAGTAAGACAAAGAGTTTTCCCCACCTTCAAGTTGGTGGGATCAGCTGTTTGAAGTACCCCACACAGGAGCTAGATGACCAACTGACTCACACATTGAAAAAAAAAAAGTAGCCAATCCTCGGAGGATGCCATATGCTATCTTCTGGGCAGCAAGCTGCTGACAGTTACAGACCTGAGATTCTGCACCACCTGAACTCTGGTGGACAGGAATCTCTCCAGCCTTTTTCATGGCTAATGGGAGCACACACCTCCCTTCCTGATATTTAACCAAGTGAATTTGTTAAGATGCAAACTGTCCCTGCCTGAAGAAGTCTATATGAGGTATGAATTAATAAACTATTATTTTTAAAAAACTGTGTTGAAGTTACAGCAAGAATCATGTTGCCTCCCTGTCATCATAGCCTTGGACATCCTAACATTCTCAAGGCTCGGCCATGTAAACCTAACCTATTTCCTTATTAACCTGGGTCTGAAATGAAGTTGTTCCAGATGCTTCTTTATAAATATTCATTGCAGAGGCAAGGGTGACAGTGTGGTCACAGGACAGGTTTGCATACAGAGCAAGTATCTATGGGCCTGTTTCATTAAAGGCACGTCTCCTTCCCTTTTCTCCATGCACAGGAAATTCTCGCGCCTGTAATTGCGGGCTGGGAGCGCTGCGCCCGCAGTGTGAAGCACAGACCTGTTGTACAAGCCATGATGGATGTGTACCACGTGCTGGCGAAGGACCGTCTCCGTTCACAGGCACGGTTTGCTGCATATTTATTATGTATTATTGTAGTCTTCATTGTAACCTAGCCCAGAGTGAGGACGGCACTGTGATTTCCCATTGTAATTTCTTATTTTCATTCACTCACAGCCCTGAGAAATGAGGTGAATTCTTTCATGAGGGCACTCACAGCCCCTTTAGTTGTACTCTGGCTATTCACCTGGCTCTATCTGATCCGATGAATGTAACGATAAAAGCCCTAATATATATTTCCGGGAGAATGAGACGAATTTATGAGCCAGTGATAGTTTGCTATGGCTTTTGCATAATATTCACTCTCCATATTTTTACTGCTGATAGTTCTCTCTATTAGCATGGACATTTATGTCACATTACAGCATCCTATTTAATGCCCAGTCAAGATCTGGCCTACCTGCTAATAATTAAGCAAAACAACAGGACAGAGGGGCGGGGGTGGGGATGGCTTGGGGGAGAGACTCCGTTCCTTATTTAGAGAATCTGGGTTAGTGATTCTGGCTGTTTCCAACAACCCTCTCCTCATTTGATCGCTGCTTTACTGACTCTCTTTGCCTCTTTATGGTTTTTGTCCATTGCTTTCAATTTAATGTTCCAGAAAATTTAACTCTGTTGTAAAGCTGTGTAACTCAAGATAAAGAATTCTGCACAAACACTGAGGTGGTGGACAGGTTGATAGGAAGCAGTGACATAACCAGTAAAACATTTAATAACACGGGGAGAAGGGCAGAAGAAAAGTAATGGGATGACAGGGGAGATGATTAAAATATCAACAGAATAACAATGTTATTCCATTGAGTTCCAGCCAACCAGAATGTTGAGCTCTCAAATGAAGCTTTTCCCTA